ATATTACTCGTTATTTGTGACTAATATTCCGTGCAACCCAGAACCCCCGAGTTGAAAGAGTAACCAGTTTCAATAAGAGTCATTGTTCATGACATCACAAACCGACGACAGTTGGATAGACGACTTGGAACCGGAATTCCATTGCAGTAAGTATTTAGAACAGCAAGATTAAAACGTTAGTTCACATCAAACAACCATGTTTAATCGCATCAAAGGCAATAATTGAATAGAGTCAACCTACACGGTAATCTCCGCAGCAAACAACTCGGATATTTCCCTGAGCACACAACTTCAAACTACAAACACACGGATTTCTTTCTTAATAAAGTGCAGTTGAAATTATGACTATGAAATTGTCGTGGAAAGTTCTCGAATTCGCGATGGCTTCAGATATAAGTGCTCGTGTTGCTGTTAGTTGTCGCTTTGTGATGCGACGCGTACGACGAACGCCTTTTCTAACTTAATTCCTGTCTCATGCACAATCTATAAACTTTTGAGTGCTACCTGCTACGACTGAGAATGGCAAATTATTTGTCTGTACACGTAGCTCGTCGGAAACTACATGGATATTTCATATTTTAACAGACAGGGGTGATCGTTAGTTCAAAAGTGCATAATATTCAGTTAATAGAGTTAGGGAGTTTATAGGGACGGCATAGTTTATGTGCGCCTTTTTTTCGTAGGAATTAAACAAAAGTAAAAAACTTGTATCCACAACAATCAATTTGCTTAATATGTATTCAGCTTTTGTAGTCAAAGGTCAAGTAATACGTCAAGTTTTTAATTAATTTTAAGAGCAGTTTTTTTTTGTTTGGGATTATAAAAGTTCCTACTATAGCATAATATTATCAACAAAACTCTATGACAAAATAGCTATAAGGAACAAACAAATTAATTTATTATTATCTAAAAAGGCGGAGAAGTAAGTTCAAATCACGACTGGATCTTACGTCTTAGCTCTATCATCGTATCCGGTAACACGCTTAAGCTTTAATACCTTGTTAAACAAAAAGATCAGGATAAAGTGTTCAAAGACGAAAGGTTGTCTCTACGCAAATTTGGTACTACGTACAGGTGAACGTATATTAAGAAAATTTTGTGAAAATTGACTTTGTATAAGCATATTATTTCGTGTCTTTTACCGTATTGTTTTTAGGCAATGATAAACGAGACTCATAGCAATTTAATACATAAATGTCTGACTGTCTAATAACTAGCAAAATAAGGATTTTATTATTTAAACAAGATCATATTAGCGTGTAGGTAATGTTAGTAAATGCGGTATTACTATAAATTCCCATTGAACACCGATTGCATCGACTCCAGTCGGTCTATCAGTTCTTAGGATCGCGATACCCAGTCTTGCTTGTCCCGTTTTTGTCTAAAGCCCGATAGCAGGTAATGAAATGATGCCTTTCCGGTCCGGGACGCTGTGTGTTCACCTGGAACTAGGGTCACCATATCGCAATTCCCAGGCAGGAATTTGGAATGAACTGTACGAATGCTAGATATTTCGAAAAAATTCTGAAGAGTTTAGTCCCAAATTAAAGTAATAAATTCCACATGCAGCTTAACTTTCGCGACATTTTATTGAATCCTATCTAAGCGTTAGTTCGGATGAATTAAAAAGCCGGACTTTGTCCACACGTGTACTAACAGATGGTCACCCTACCTGTAACGTGTTCTGTTCTTTGAATTCTTATTAACTCAATTCCGGGGTTCTATCGAGATAAAGGTAGACAATGCACTTATCGTTTTGATGGTAATAGTCATTTATGTATGATTTTTCATGATAACAATCTGCATTCCAGCTGTTTTTATACAAATAATAGACGTGAACAAAAATTCTTTTTTTTATTTTGATTTTGCTCTACATATAGCCTACTGTTTGTAATTAACTAGACAAAATATGCATTAAGTTTACACAAAGAGAATCAATAAATAAGAATTTAAACTGTTGAGTTCTTGATATAATTTAAATAATACGTTTTTAGACGATAAATCTTAAACTAACTTTGTGTTTACAACAAGTAACTAGTCGACTATTGCGACCTCTTACGAAGTACTTGTGAAGTTCGCGAAAGTTCGCTGAAGTTCAATTGGAACAAAGCTCGGCTCACACCTCAGCTACTTAACTTTCACTTCTTTATTTAATAAGCTTAAAAAGCGACACTTTACAGACTTATTTTCTAGCTCTTGTGATATTTTTATACGGGTTATTGATTAAAATGAGGAAAAATCACAATCGGCTTAATGATACCTAGGCATTCATTTAATAGGCACTACATAGGTTTATTATTACTTGACATAACAAAATTAACTTAAAAAGTTTAGTGCTAACATTTTTTTTTGCTGTTTTAATAAATTCAGACATGATTGGTTTTATAAAAGATTTTATATTTATAGCCGCCAAATATGAACGTTATTCCCACGTCTATCGAGCCCCTCTCCAACACAACTACAACGCCGTTTTAAAATCCTTATTATCATGAAAACGAGACTGTTTGAGGTATCAAATTTTGATACAGTTTTGCATAAAGAGATAAGCACTATCAAAGGATTGCTCTCAAAGTGGTTTACCCTGCGAACATATTTAAGTTTTCACGGAGTGAGGAAATGGAAAATAAATTTCATTCGTATAAGTTTCTTAGCTACACATTACCCAAGGAAATGTTTACTTTGTTTGGATTATTAAGCGCTTATTATTTCTTAGGCTAATGGAATACTTATGTGGGTTCGCAGTGCGCCCATCGCTTATTAAAAATAGTTATTAGCTACCTTTGGGGCTTTTGAAACAAACAAATGAATTCATGATTGCATTTTAGATTAAAACAATGAATGCTCTTTGAAAATGTTATTTGAAATCAGGAGAGCTGTAAGTTTATCTAACTGTGATACTATGAAAATAAAAGTTTAGGTATTGCATTAAATTATTTTAGAATCACTATTGTTATGACATATTTTCAAGTTTTAACTAGTAGTCATATTAAACCGTTAACTCTATTTGTTTGCTGCTAGTTTGACCTTTGGTTGTCTACTTACCTAATACAAAGACCTGGAAATTAAGAGAAAATTAGAAACTAAAAACGACACTAAATAAAAAAGTGCAAAGTGAAATATCGTACAATGCATTTCAAGATTACCTCTCATTAGAAGTACCGTGTTTAACGGCAGAGTATTAGTACAAAGAGGAAATACATTAACATAGCAACTTCGCAGCGCGAGTTTGAAACATTTTCCCCAAACTTTTCTATATGTGTGAAATGCTATTGAAAGCCGCTCACGGAGATTAAAACGCGCCGTGGAAATGTGCTCAAGGATTACCCTCGTGAGCCGGTATGAAGTTGTCTTGTTATGTATAATTAGGGTTGGCAACTCTGCTTAAGATCTAAACTTGAATTTAAGACGTTAAAAACGACAAAATAATAGAAATTTAAAGGATTTTTAAAATTTTCTCAAAGTTGTAGTTAGCGTTAATAACACAATTTGATCTCAGATGTATCGATGAAACCTGATACAGTGCTGCATTATTCAATAATCAAACTTAAACAATCAAAACAATAAACTATTAAAACCAATACTATGAATCGAGTATTTCTGTCTGGAGTTTTCATACCTTGTCTACTAAATAGTTTTATATCTGGCACTTAGTCAGAAGGGTATCTTGGACTTGTCATGCTCACTAAAATGTCTTTGGGGTAGTGGCGTGTGAGGCGGGTCGCTACATTCCCTACAATATGGTCGAGTGAAGCGATGGCTGGTTCACACGTCATGTCTGTGAACAGGCGCTGCCTTCGGGGACTGGTCAAGACAAGATATACCTACCTTAAATTTTTTAACATAACAATTAACAATCAACTTGACAGTGGCACGGCATTAAATATAAGTATATACAATTTATTTAAAACTACCACACGGTTTTGTTATGGTGCCTTGCTTTTCTCTCTAGAGTTTTCTTGCCTTGTCTCCTAAATAGTTTTATATCTGGCACTTAGCCAGAAGGATATCTTAGACTTGTCATGCTCACTAAAATGTCTCTGGGGTAGTGGCGTGTGAGGCGGGTCGTTACATTCCCTATAATATGGTCGAGTGAAGCGATGGCTGGTTCACACGTCATGTCTGTGAACAGGCGCTGCCTTCGGGGACTGGTCAAGGAAAGATATACCTGACATAAAATATATGTATCAAAACGCAACAATTAACCTAGAAATTAGCACGGCACTAAAGAAATATATTCAAAACTGCCACGCGGTCTCGTGCTAGATGGGCGTCTTAAAGGTCACCTTCTATCAACGGGAGCGCGTGGTAAGTAACTTGCTTCTGAATGTATGTAACTTCCTACTTTTTTATATTTTTAAACCGGCAGACAGTGGTGACTGAGTTTGTTGCGGCGCTTCTTCTCAGCACTTGCCAAATGTTTGTCTCGAAGCGCTGGTAGGGCAAAAAAAGAATGAGACATGTATAGGCTCCTTAAGAGCATTTGACGATTTGCAAGAACTAATTTAATTAGTCTAAACAAATAAAGATAATTTTGATTTTGATTTTGATTTTCTAAATACGTATAAATTTTAAATAGCTGGCGATCGTCAATGATCGCGAAAAATTTGGTAAGTTAGCAGCCCTGTCTCAATGCGCCCCACTGACGGGCTACATTGAAAAATTAATGCGTCCACCCCCCAGGGGGCGCGGTGCGAGAATCCGACACGTGCCGATTTGAAAAACGAACAACCGGTAAGTTAATTTTGAAGTGTAACGAAAAGCACCTTCATATCTTGGCATCGAGAGAAACAGCAGAACATAAATTATATTCATAAGTTCTTATTTTTCTGCTTTTCATAAGTCACAAACGAACCACACGTTATTAAAGTAAGTTATTCACACCAAAAAAAAAGTAGGAATAATGTCGTATTGTTGCCAATCAATTGAGTACAATTTAATTGCATAGTATTTATTTGCAAATTATGACATCCATTTATTAAAATAAATACTTTTGTGTTAATTTCAACCAAACCATTTTTAACTTGCATCAACAAATCCAGTTTTAGTAGTTAGTGCAGCATTGAGAACCTGAAACAAGAAATATAATCACTACAATAAAAAATCAAAATATGTTATTTCATTAAGAAAGTGTATTTTCCAATCATCAAAAGGCAATTATTCATTTGTTTGTTTTCCACTAGCTGTGGTCGCAAGTTCTTACGCGTGGAATTCCTTTTCTAGTCAATCGTCCAGTCAATGAAGACCTCCGATTTATATGTGACTCCATGCAGTAGAGGGATCAATTATCTCAGTACCACATTAAATGTCGCCATAGACTACGAGTATCTACCCTCTGCGAATTTCTTTCTCACCCTCCTTCATTCCCTACTGCCCTATTTATATATATTTTGATGGCATTCTAAGCTTTATTAGCCCTACATTTCACCCTACATTTTTCGACTGAGATGCTACGATTATAATAAAAAATATGAGTGGAAATCGTACACGTAATATTGTTAAAAGCAAAGGAATTTTTCAAGTGTGTGGTAATGGAAATATAATTCAATTGGAGCTATACTTGATAAATCAATCGAATAAAACCATAATTTTGGGCTACCTCAATGATCTCCTCAACTCACATTTTCACTTTACAATATGAAACATCTTAATCGTTTGGTATAAACGCAACATTAAAGCACGATTTGTATCACATCATAAACAAAACGCAAACAAAGGGCTTGTAATAAAGAAATTAATGCGCTCTACGTTTTATTCCAGATTTCTGCTCTAGCACCCTATAACTCAGACATCCGCACGTCCGTATTTTGCAGTGAATTGTTCTTTTAATTAATTTATGCAACCGAGCAATATTTCAAAATTACACCTCTCATCCGCAAACACACAATACTATGAAGATTGCGAGGAACGGCAGTAACTAAAGATAGCAGATTGATTTAATTTTTGCCGAGTGTTAGTTTAACATACATTTTCTGTACAAAATTTGGCTATCTGCATCTCTGTCTAGAGACCAGTTTAATTAATTTTCAGATTGACTCACAGAACTCGTAATATAACAGATTTTTCTATTGATTAGTAGGTACAGACGTGAGCTATCCACTTATCAGGAGAACACAATTTGTGAAATTTCGGATCGAGCAACGTGTAAAGGCAAATGAATAAAATCGTAGATCGAAACCGCGTGCCTACACCAATCATAGCAATGAAAGTGCGATTGTTGCAGCTAACTAGATCGTTGAGCCTGGACTCGGCCGATGTGTTTGTGCTCAGCAAGTCTATTCTTGAAACCGTTCGTATTTTCAGTTGAATTTTTCTCTCTCACTCACCTCCAAGTAGAGCGAGACTGATAGAGTTGGAAATATAGAAAATGTCTACTAGAATAAGCCACCAGTCCCGAATAGCGGGCGCTTTCTTTGTTCGACGCAACTTCGTTAACTAGCTGTCGGTGACGGCGTGAACAGTAACGTTGCGTTCTCACTTGAAATTATACCATCAGTCAATTCGGAAGCCGTGCTAAACCCATCTAGATAAATTTTAGGACATGACAGTACTAGAACTCGAACTAATACTAATCAAACTTGCAACGTAGGTGCCCCAAAAAAAGCTAATAGGAGTACGCCTGAATGTGGTTGGGAGACAGGTTCCAAAAAAATTAACATCTGGTACCATCTAACTCTAGCTAGGCCGTTTCTGTCTTTAAAACCAAGGCAAACTTAAATCATACCTGAAAAATTTATCAAGAAAGCTTGCAAAAGTTGCAAGCAACAAATCTACGGAATCCGATCAAATCAATAGAATTAGAATCTAAATATATAAAAGGAGAAACTGACTGACTGACTGACAGATCAACGCACAGCCTAAACGGCTAAACGTAGGCACTTGAAATTTGGAAGGGACGTAGCTTAGGTACCGTAGAGGTGCACTAAGAAAGGAATTCCAGAAATTCCCACGGGAACGGGAATTAGCGGGAAAAATGGGATTCACGCGTACGAAGTCGCGGGCGGCCGCTAGTAATAACATAAGCCAGTAACAGCATCCCAACACTTAGCAACTATCTGCGGGTGAACAACAAACGCAACGATGAAAGCGATGCTAACTAGATCTTTGAGCTCGTGACTCTGTTTGTGCTAGTCAGACCCAGGCCGGATTGCGGGGCCTTCTTTGTTCGACGCAACTTCACTAACTAGTTGACAGCGAACACCGCGGAGCGTCGAAAGCCAGGTGTAAGGCTTTGTCTAATTTGAATTAGCCAAACCAAAGTAATATAATCTGCAAAACTACGTCAGTAACTACAGCTATATCTCGCATTTTGAGAATAGGTAATTTTTTTTAATCAAGTACTAGACGCCCGCAACTTTTCAAAAACTCATCATCTTCACCAAAATACAATCCTTACGTAATCAAATCTATTGAGTAAAATGTCCGTTTAAATTTCGTGTCTACAATATTATGAAGTAGGTACTACCTAGGAAGGAAGCCTATGTTTTTATTAATTTAGGAGTATGAAATACAAGAATTTTTTACAGATCTGCTATAATAATATGGCTTTAAAAGTATTACCTGTTTGTATTGGTATTGGTGCAAATGGCATTGCCGGTGCTTGATGATTGATCACTGTTCGTATCACTTTTTTGGGCTGTGGCTCATAGTTAGCCAAAGAATAAACCATTGGCATTTCTATTGGTGGTGGGTTATTCATATAGTGCTGATACATCATGTTTTGTTTCAAAGCATTTTGCAGATTTATTGCAGCTATATTATCTGCAAAATTTTCTAAATATGCATTTCTCGTAATTTGCCCAGATTCTAATTCTGATGGATTATCTTTAACAAGATTTTTGTTCGGATTGTCTAAACTCCCAAAAATATTATCAAACATTTTATTTGGTGCATCTTTATTATGCAGAAGGCCTGATAAAAGTAAATCATCGTTGAATTCCTTATCGTTAATAAATGGTTTATTTATATTGCTTGCTGGTGCTGGTGTATTTAATTTACTCTCTGGAGCATATGGTCCTCCATAAAACTGATCTTTATTTTCCATCAAATCTTTGGCCATTTCTTTGACTGTTCCAACAATTTTATCTGAATTTGTATTCGAATTGGGATCCAACATCATATCTGGATAAAGAGACCGCAAATCTGGCTCACTTTGTATTTTGGAAAGATACGAATCTAGCGTACTCTTTCGTTCTGGAAGCAAATCATTGTGTAAGTAGTCATCGGGGTAAGCAGATCGCAATTGGTGAGCGTTAGCATCTTTTTTTAAATGCTCTTCTCCATTAAAATCATCTACTTCTTTTTGTGGCTGTGTTTCTATCTCTACTACAATTTCCTCGCTAACTGTATCATATTTCAAATTATCAGAATCTTTGGGATCTCCTGTAATATTTGTAAATATTATGTTTGGTAGATTCAGTTTCAAGTTCGTCTTAATGTATATGATTTTGGAATCATTGCCAGTGTTTTCTTTAACATCAAATTGCGTACCTTTTGTGCCTTCATTTTCTCCTTCCGTCTGTTTTATCAGTTGGTCCAATATGGCGTTGATTCCTTCAGAATTATTATGGTTTTGAATGGAAAATGCAATCACGTTTAATATCATAATCAGCATATCTGAAAAATATGTTTAGGTACAGTTTTGTGGTTTAGAGTAAGTAAATCGATATTCAAGAATAGATATTGCTTATTTCCCTTACACATTATTAGACCCATGTCTATTAGTGGCTAGGTCGATACGGAATGTCGATTTGAGTGCATTTACCACACAACTGCTTATTAATTAAGTGTTATCGCATTAATACCTCCTCATTGACTTAATTAGGTTGTTATTGATTGCAGTGAATGTTTTACATGCATTATAATTGGATAAACACTTCATGTTAATTAGTTTAGTGGGTTTAAGTTAATTGCCTGAATATCGTATTAATATCAGATAGGTACTCGTATTAATAATTTGTGTAAAGGTATGCACTTAGTGGACAAATAGGGGCATGTGAGATCGATTTATGATCGTGATAATTTTGTTAGACTCATTAGTGATATACTTACATCAGATGTATGCTGCCAAATCGAAAACAAATATTAATTCTTTCTAAATTCGTAATCCTTATAATTACTACTATTTTAAAGCAAATTTAATAGTGTCATAAAAATATCCTATCTATGCTAATATTTTAAATGCGAAAGTATAACTCTGTCTGTCTGTCTGTCTTGCTTTCACGCCTAAACCACTGAACCGATTTTGATGAAATTTGGAATAGAGATAGTTTGAGTCCCGGGAAAGGACATAGGATAGTTTTTATCCCGGTTTTTGAAACAGGGACGCGCGCGATAGTTTTCCTGTGACAGACAAAATTCCACGCGGGCGAAGCCGCGGGCGGAAAACTAGTTGAATCATAAAGTAGAAAACAATGCAGCATCGCTGTAGAATGCCAATCGGAAAATTTTAATTTACGCAATAACAATTTACAAGTGATTGGAGACTGAAAAAAGCAATCTTGGTTATAGTTGGGTGGGACGGCATCAAGTAAACAGCTGGCTCGTCCTGCATTTCAATCGGTTCTATTTGTATTTTATTGAGACGACTCGAGGCCAGCGCGGAGGCTTTAGGTTTATTGAACGCTTTTTATGAGGCTCGCCCAATAATGGACTGTGATATTAACGCGACGGTATTGATAATTAGCTGTGGGGTCGGGACTTTGGTACTCTATGATCTACTGATGCATATAATCTTGGTTGTAGTCGATAGAAATTGCAAAATATTTTTTGGAATACAAATACTGTGATTAGACGATCAGTACAACGTGGAAAATGGCATAAAACGCGGATAAAGTGCCACCTTATTTTTGGGCGAGAGCTCTTTTCCTTGCGTTTTTTTCCACCACTCAATGATATTCTAAAGTAAAGTAAAAATAAACTATTAGTTTTTTAAACCATCTGTTATTGAAACTATCGTTGTAATTTGCGGCGGCACCTTTGGCACGTAGCAAAAACAAGGAGCCAGCTTAGAAATCGTTTAAGATTTTCAATATCCTTGCGCAGATTAAGCCATTAGCGATTGCAGTTACAAAGGTTCATCCGAGCTTTTTTTCGTTTCGCTTTCCACTCCAACTGTTGAAGTCGGGGCCGCTTGATTTTTAATTTAAAACTTTGTTTTTTTAATCTTTTGGCAGGCTCCTAAGAGACAACTTCCAAAAGTTTCATAGACAAATTTTGAAATAAGAACCATTTCCAGAATCAGATTGTGTTTTATTTTATTTAATTAACAAGCATTTAGTTCATTTAATACCTAACAAACATTATAACATGTGCAAGTACATAATATTTTTTCTAAGGTCTACTTTCATAAATTCAACTGTATTTATAAGCATTTAGATACTAATTTACTTCCTGTGCCCGCAATATGGTACGAGTGAAAAACGTTTTCTAGAGAAGAGCCGCAGTATTCACGATGTCATTAAAATAAAAATCCGCTTAGGTCAGTCAAGTTCGAGTCTTTTGGGTAATTTTTTTTAGTAGTAAGTACAAGTTTTTTTTTGCCCAATTTAGACCTGTGTCAAAAATGTGTGTCAGCCGATACGGTCTGTCAATTTCTGATTAAATATTTTAACGAACAAAATAGTCCCCAATATTATGTCTTTACAAAATATCACTTTTGAGAAGGAAAAGTAATAAAAGTAATCAATTTCCTGCAAATAGATTTTGTTAAAGCGCTTTACACGTCCCAGAAGACTAAATTAGCATATGCACTTGGGTTACAATACGAATACAATTACAGCTGTTAGCCTCAACGTATGCTAGATCACTCGATCACTCGTCTGGACTCGCATGCATGCATAATTACAGACAGCAAACGTCTGGTGGCTAGCGGTGACGTGAGGAACAAAAATCAATGGCTACTCTAAAGTGTTAAGTATTCCATGGCTTATGTAATGAAATTGGTAGAATTTGATAAAGTTTGTAAAAGCTCGTTTAGGTGATGATGAAAATATGTACCTCTATATTTTTGAGCTTAATTTTTAGCTGAAGTCTTCCATGTCATTTAATAAGTACGAGTAACATGCGACTACGCCGTAGTACGTAGTCACTACGGTAACAGCGATATTTTAGCAGTTGGGAAAACTGTGGATACCTACTTTTGGTAGAGAGGCGTAAAGGCTTCAAAATCTTAACACTGAAACAATACTTATTCAAGTTTAAAATAAGCTAACCTACAGAATTCCAATTAAAAAAATATAACTTCTGAGTTAGGCTATTTCACAAGTATGAATAAATGTGAAAAACACTAAATTAGTCTCGTAACAAATGATTAGTTTTCAATTACATGTTAAATCCATTCCGGATGGTAACTTTGTGCAATCTATCGTCACAATGTTTTCGTCGTCCGGTTGACACGTGGTTATTTGTCCACCGCCGGCTGTTCGAATAATTGAGGTGTACATTTTCACTTTGTTCCGTTTCCATTCGATTAAAATCGTTGTACCACACTTGTACAAGCTATTCGGTGTTTACTAAACGATTTGAACGCTCGGCCGGTTTGGCCATCCGAGCGCACAATTTTTTTGTACTGATTCTCCCGTTTAAAAAAGCGCAGCAAAGTAATTTAAAAAGAGATGAAGTACTACGCAATTATGGCGCCGTGATAGGGAAGTACGAGTATATTATGTACTAGCTGTGCCCGCGACTTCGTCCGCGTGGACTAATGACTTTGGGTAGGCACTTTTAATAATTTAGTCTAATTATTTTTAACGAACGAACGAACGATTTTACAAAGGCCTATGTTCAGCAGTGGACGTCCTATGGCTGAAATGATGATGATGATGATGATGATGATGATGATTTTACAAATAGCTTTTGCCCGCGACTTCGTCCGTGTAGAAGTCGAAAAAGTTCTCATAGGATTTTTAAATGGTTTTTAACGTTATTATCTAAATGTTTGAATACTATTTGATCGTTTAAACACAGTGAATGATTAAATTACATAAAATTTTAATGATACTTTTCACGGCTTCGCTCTCATGAATGTTAACGACCGTCAAAAGCACGTCGATAGATGGCGGTCACTAATTTAGACTTTGATTTGCTCGTTTAAACACAGTGAATTATTCAATTACATAAAATATCTATAATGACTAAATTTTAAATATTATGAACAGTTCTATAAATGTAATATTTAGTTCCTAATTAGGACTAATGATACGTTTCACGGCTTCGCTCTCATGAATGTTTACGACCGTCAAAAGCACGTCGATAGATGGCGTTTTTAAGGATATTTCTCACCTCTTAACTATTTATTGAAATTTAGTTTGTCACATATCGTCATAAATTGTAGCCTATATATTAGCCTGGGTTATAAATAATAATACTGTAAAGTTTCAACAAAATCCGTTTATTAGTTTTTGCGTGAAAGAGGAACAAACATCCAGACATCCAGACAAAAAGGTTACAGTGAGCCAACCATAAAAGATAGACATATGCTGTAGCGGACTTTTTTGTAGAACTTTTAAAGGGGAAAATCCTATCATACATAATTTATGCGAAACTTTAACCGTTTACGCAGCGTCAGCTCTCAAAAGGAAAAAAAATCACTGATTTGAAACATTCTTCATTGGTGCTCCGCTCCTAGTGGTATTAGCGTGATGATATATAGCCTAAAGCCTTCAGGGATTAACGGACTATCCAACACAAAAAGAATTTTTCAAATTGGTCCAGTAGTTCCTGAGATTAGCGCGTTCAACCAAATAAACAAACTGTGAATAATAAATTGCGCCACTACAAACCGTACCAACAGATGGCGCTGTTACGATCTTACTATGGCAAACTCCACCGCGCATACAATCCTGCATCGCGGTGACGAAGTTTTTTACCCTGCCCAGTATATATAGACAAACTAAGATTGTGTAAATTAAATGCTCTAACTCCTTATGGTGGTTGAGCGTCATGTTCCACAACTTCAGCTTTATAATATTAGTATAGAGTATAGATGGCTGTTTTGGATATAATGAGATTCAATTTAGGTAAGTATATTTGTTATGCCAAGTTGGACCGTAAGAACGTGTTTTCTACTTAACCATCCACTTATGTTTATATTTCCGGTGCTTGTATTTTAAATCTTCGGCTATGGTCTCGGTTTAGAGCAAGCCATTTAGCGTTAGTTTTATAAAGGTTAGTTACAGGGTGCTTCGAGATATATTGGCTACTGGGACTCGCGAGTTGCGAGTACATTTTACGGGCGACCAATAAATTTTTTATCGTGTAACAGTAAAGAAGCAATCAGTCCGTCGGATATTGGTCTGGTCCGTAAACACGTGGTCGTTTATGAGCTCACAGTTCCTCGATTCATAGGTCCGTCGCTCAACCACTCCCGCGATTAGCCTTTTACGCCATCCGAGGTGCTGTCGCTTCGCGGTCAAACTGTGTTTGCTTTTACTACCTACAAATATGGGTGACCTAACTTGAGCGTTAGGTTGCTTTATTATGATTTTAGAGGTTGACATGAAAAATTGAGTTTATGATAATACTTAATACCTATCCTCAAACTTCGAAATAGGAGAAGTATCTATATTTAATTTTATGGAAAAAGAGTAGGTTTTCTGTCTGAGCGTTAAAGCCAGTCTTATCCTCATATCATACAAGGATCTGAGGAATCTTATGAGAACGCTGATTTTGGTCTTCCATGCTGTAGATTTTTAAGTCGAATTCTCAGTGTTTATGCAAAGATAAATGAGTAAAGGTACTTCAAAACAATACAATGAGTAG